ATAAATTAAATATTATATATATATAAAATTTTCTTTTCTGGCAAATATTAACCCTTCTTTATAGTTTTTAATAAAATCTTAAAGGAATTTACAATAACACAATATCTACTCGTGTTAATTAAACATAAAAGGTAATAATTTTCTAAAACTTACCCCACACATATGTGTGAGGAAACATAATGACTTTCCAGCATCTGTAATTTCGAGAAGTCTGTAATGGTAATTAGAAGCTTTCAGACTCGAAAACAGCTTCACAGCGTCAGTAGCCGCTGCTATTACTTTAACATCCTTGACATCAGCAACTATATAATCATAACACCCAATACAAGGGACGGTATAACAACTAGCAAAAGAAAAGAAAACTGTAAAAAGAAAAACTGATTTCCACATCATAAATGGAGTAAAATTTTCAAAGTGTATTAATTGAGAATTTCTGTATCGTGTTTGTGACAGAAACCGTTGAAGCTTGAAATGATGGTCATGTGTTCATTCTCACGAAGTAATTTTTCAATAAAAATACAAATAAAAAGAATTATGATAAATTTTATTTTTAGAGATAATGTGTAAGAAATAAGGTGCGATAACAGAGAACCTTGAAAACACGTATTTTTTATAATCCTTAAACACAATTTTATTGCATTTAGAAAACATTATGGTTTACATAATAACAAGATTATTCAAATAACACTTCTTAAACACTTAACTTAAGGAACTTAAACACTTCTGTGTGCATTTATAATTCTAAAATATGAGAAATATTGTAAAATAAATATTATGTAATATAATTTTTATATAGCGTTTCTTATACGAATAGTTAATATTTTTTTTATCCTTTTCATGTTTACAATATATACTTATTTTTAATAAATAAAACTTTTTCAAAAGAAAATCTTCCAATTTATTAGTTAAGCAAATTGTACAACTAAACTAAGAATAAAAATATTTATAGCAATTGCAAATAAGCCACGATGGCTCAATAGTTAAGGCATTGAGCTGTCATTGCGATGGACTCGAGTTCGATCCCCAGTGGTGGCTGGGAAGTAAAGACGGTCTGTGCACTACGTGGCCACAGTCAAGCCGCTGTTCATGAAATCGTGGAGCCTTAGCCTTCATGAGATGCTTTAACTAGTTTCTATATAGCTTTTCAATGGATCTGAATTTTCTCTATAAATCAAATATACATTCTTGAAATAAAGAAACAAAAATCATAGATATTGTTTGATTCAGTTGTTTACCATACCAAACATTTTTCCAATGAACGGATGAATTAATGGATAAACTCAACCATGGTTCAGTTTTCCTGACTATGAGCTTGTTATCTTGGTCATTCGAGTATCTTGATAACTAATCACGTTAAATGTGTTACTAGAGTGCTTATCAATTGATCAGAATTGGTTCTAAAGATTATACATGTTTAAAAAAAAATCAATTTTATTGTTTGATTTATAAGTTGTTCATTCAGAAAAATGTCGGTTATTGTGAATCAATTCGTGTATAAATTAAACCCTGGTTCATTCAGAAATTGTTGTCAATCGTGAATAAATTCATGTATATACTAAACCCTGGTTCATTCAGAAAATGTTGTTCATTCAGAAAACGTTGTTCATTCAGAAAATGATGTCAATCGTGAATGAATTCATGTATAATCTAAATCCTGGTTCATTCAGAAAATGTTGTTCATTCAGAAAACGTTGTTCAGTCAGAAAATGTTGTCAATTGTGTATGAATTCATGTATAATCTGAACCCTGGTTCATTCAGAAAATGTTGTCAATCGTGAATGAATTCGTGTAAAAACTAAACCCTGGCTCATTCAGAAAATGTTGTCAATCGTGAATGAATTCGTGTAAAAACTAAACCCTGGTTCATTCAGAAAATGTTGTCAATCGTGAATAAATTAATGTATAAACTAAACCCTGGTTCAAACGGAAAATGTTGTTCATTCNGAATAAATTCATGTATATACTAAACCCTGGTTCAAACAGAAAATGTTGTTCATTCAGAAAACGTTGTTCATTCAGAAAATGAAGTCAATCGTGAATGAATTCATGTATAATCTAAATCCTGGTTCATTCAGAAAATGTTGTTCATTCAGAAAACGTTGTTCATTCAGAAAATGTTGTCAATCGTGAATGAATTCATGTATAATCTAAACCCTGGTTCATTCAGAAAAGGTTGTCAATCGTGAATGAATTCGTGTAAAAACTAAACCCTGACTCATTTTTTTCTCAATAAGAGCTTGTTAACTTGGCCATTAAAGTATCTTGGTCACTGGCCATATTAAATTTGTTACTAGATTTGTGCTTATCAATCTATCAGATTTTGTTGTAAATATTATACATGTTTAAAAAAATTGTATTTTACTGCTTGTTTTACATGTTTTTCTTTCAGAAAATGCTTTCCATCGTGAATTATAACTCGTAAACATAAACGCAATGCTGATTTTTTTTTTATCAATGAGAATATTAACTTTGCTATGTACATTAGTTTCATGAGACCTGTATTTACTCAAAGACAGAACCACTGATAAAAAAGAATTTATTATTATTATCATTTTGTTACTTTTCACCGATATGTAATTCGAGCAGGCCAATTAATTTACTCTTATTAACTCTAAGAACAATTGTTTCATAGTCCAACATAATAAAAAGTAATAAACTTTCATTTCATAGCAAGTATAAATTTAACTCATTTAAAGTTAGATTCAAACCCTTTTTTATCGATTCGAAAATATATCGAACAAATTGATTTAAAAATGCATTAACTTAAATCACATTCCGAACTGGAATCAGAATGAACTTTTTTGACATAAATACATCTTTTTAAGTGAAAGGATTATTTTTTCTAGAAAGTAATAGGTTTAAAAATATCATAAAGGAGTTATTTCTTAAAAAAGTTACTTTAATTCATCCACAACTAGTCATGAAATTCAATTTCCAACATTTCAGAGAAATGTATTTTCCTAAGTCGGCATTTCGTTTTCTCTTTATCCCAGCAGAACAGAAATTCTATTTTAGGAAATGCAATGCGAGGTTCCATTTCATACACCCCAAAAGAAATTATCTTTCTAGTCTTCCGTGACGAACAATAACAAGTCATTCCGCATAAGTCTCGAAGGGCGGTACAAGAATTTTCATTTAACGCACTTTTCAGACAGGTTTCAGCAACATTTTCAAAATGGAAATGTCGCCCTTCAGACTTCAATTCTGGAATAACAGGAAAAGAAATTTAAATGGCGCAGCACACTTATTTGGGATACTTGATTCGGTAATAAATGAGAGCATAATTTGATATTGAAGCTTCGAAGGGTTGTGACTAATTAAATGAATGAAATCAAGGTGTAGAAATTTGTATAAATTTTATTCGGCTCTGAAATGTGACTAACTCGAGTTTCAGTTTAAAACTTGCGAATATGATTGTTGTATAGAGACTAAAATTTTTTAAATACTCAGGATTTTAGAATCTGTGTGTTTAATACATTCTTCTAAATCATAATTCTCGATAATAAAACTAACAACTAAATTTGTTCAACTTTATTCCAGTCTACATTTATATTAAGTGCCCTCCAGGTGGCAGAGTGGTTGGCTGCCTGACTGTAAAGCCTGTTAAGAATTGACAAATTAAGCCATAAGGCAACGCTCATATCAATATGATTCAGTTGCCATTCAACTCCGGAACAGGGCGCATCTCACTGAAACTTCACAATTATCTTGCCAAATTTTCTATCTTTAAATTTGTAAATGAATTGGCTATTGATACATCACAAGCATTAAGCAAAACCAATGGCTGCGGGTTCGAATCTCTGTTGTGTGAATGTGATCCACTCTACAACCGGGTATCTATGACCGTGTGGCGTGGGTAATGCTGCGAGCCTCCGTGACGTTGGTTCACAGATGCCCACCAGGTAACGCTAAATGAGCAACACTTACGGCATCTAAAGGGAAGAACGAAAGTTCAGTGTGTGTCGTTAATTTTTTTTAAATAAATAAAAAAACATTTATATTAATTTGAATACTATTTCGTCCAATCTTAGAAATAAATTCTTTGACATAAATACATTTCTTAAGAAAAAATTTTTTTTCGAAGAATATTTAAGAATAGTAACCAATACAAAGCTATTCCTTAAGAATATGACTTTAATTCATTCCATAACGAATAATTAAATTCAATTTTCAACATTTCAGAGAAATGCATTTTCCAAAGTCGGCATTTATGCCATCAGAACAGAAATTCTATTTTAGGAAATCCAAAGCAGCGGTTCCATTTCATCCACCATAAAAGAAATTATCTTTCTAGTCTTCCGTGACGAACAATAACAAGACATTCCGCTTATATCTCGCAGAGCCGCACTGGAATTTCCATTTAACGCTCTTTTAAGACAGGATATTTCAGAAACATTTTCAAAATGGAATTATCGCTAAGGGACTTCCCTTCATAGACTTCGATTCTGGAATAATACAGGATGCGGAAAAAGAATTAAAATAGCGAAGCACTTGCCTGGCGTACTTGATTTGGTAATAAAATGAAGACATACTTTGAAATTGTAAAGACTGTGGATAATTAAATGGATGAAATAAAGATGAGTCAATTCGTACCGATTTTCATCCGACTTAGGAATGTGACTAACTTAAGTTCGGATCTAAAGCAATAGAATTTGAGTATAGATGGTGACGTAACAATAAAGCTTAGAAATGAGTACTCTAAATACGTTATTCCATTATTAATACGTTATCAGTGTACTAAATATGTTTTTCTCAATTTAATTTCAAACAGAAAAACTAAATAGAGAAAAGAAAACAGTTCAATTTTTATTCGAACTATGCTTATTAAATCTGAAACATTACACGTCTATGTTACTATGAATGGTCGACATTAGAGAATTCAATGAACACGTAGTTTAGAGAATGTCCGAAAATATTTTTTAAATTTCATTCAACAAATTACGATTTGCATGATCAGATGGTGAATGTCGAATGAGAATTTGAATGAATTGAAATGAATTTGTTAAATATCATGATTTCTCTCTTACACGAGCAAATGGAGATATTTTGCATACAATTATGAAAAGATTGTAAGGGAAAATATTGTAAGCAATTTTTTTAATTTAACAATCACAACTGAATGATGACATTTTCCGTTATAAGAACGAAATAATGTTATCGATGACTGAAATTTGACTGAACTATAACTAACAGAATAGGAATATTGATGTTTGAAATTTTATTGAATAATGACTGAATTTCAGATCTTCATAAAAGTGACTATACAAATGTAGACATTCGGCATATAATGATAAAAAGAATATTAAAAAAATAATGCACATAAACAATTTATGGACTGAATTATGATTGACAGAATAAGGAAATTGATGATTGCAATTTGACTGAATAGTGACTAAATTTCAGATCTTTATAAAGCTACATTTGAGGATGTTGAAATTTAGAGAACTTTGGATTATCATGGTAACATATGCCCTTTTATTCTTAAATTTT